TGGTTAGGATCAGATCTAAAATAGCAGATCCTCTTATTGCCTCTTCCACCTTTTGGACAATGAAGGGCCTGTACAGACCAGCCAAAAGGGTTGGCCTGGGGGTGGAGTTGGGGTGGGGCAACCGCACACCGGCCATCCTGACTCCACCCTGATGCTGCTGTCATGCTGTGCACCCCACCACATGGCGTGCAGCATCAGGGTGCTCCCTTGGTGCAGCATTTAGACTTGCTGCACCAAAGGAGTACAGAAGAGTCATGGCAGTGGCAGTAAGGGTGGCTTTTTGCTGCTCCAAAAAGGAGCGGCATTTGCCAGCTCTTTTTGGAGCAGCGAACTGCTGGATTGGGGCCATAGCATGCAGTTGCCACAGCCCTGATCTGGCTCTCCCAGGGGCGGCATAGAGCCACACCTTAGGGGCCATCTGTATGACCCCGAAATTGTCTTCAAGGCAAGTGAGGAATTTTCTAGACATTAAAGTTTTGGCTGAGTTTGAATTACTGGGTGATTATTTAATAAATTATGAGGAAGTCCTCAAGAAAAGTCCTATTGACATGCTCCCCGAAGGAAATATGAAAAACTATTCCATGATAAAGAAAAAGTTTGGATAGACATCTTCCACCCCTTCTTAGCTTCTACATAACCTGCCTTATGTTACATCTATACATGTTACCTAGAAAACTTCCAACAGTACCCTGTGCTTTCTGACTATGTATCTAGTAATGAATCTAAATTCTGAGTAGATTCATGTGTGTGCACGTATGTACTTTCAAGTAACCTTTCAACTTATGGCAACCTGAAGAATTTCATAGAGTTTTCATAGGTAAGAAATACTCAGAGGTGGTTTTGCCCGTTCCTTCCTCTGAAATATAGTCCATAACACTTGGTATACATTGATAGTCTTCCATCCAAGTACTAGGGTTGCCCCTACTCACTTTTCAAGATCAGATGGGATCTGATGCCTTTAAGGCATTTAGGGGGGAACCAAACGGCGCTTTGTGCCGTCTTGGAGGCAAGGAAGGGGAGGGGCAGCCTCACGCTGGGCGCCCCAACCCCTTCCCAAACACGTCATCACAGTGCCCGTCACTCTGCATGACCGGCGCTCCACCAACGAACTTCCATCACAGCTTCTGCACAAGCTGCAGCGGAAGAGATGCCTAAGGTGTGACCAATGCCTCTTGTGGTGCACCTTCAGCATTTTGCAGAAGGAGTGCTATTTTAGTGCTCCTTCCAGGGCCTGAGAAGCTGCGGATTGGGGCCAAGGAGTGCGGCTACCTCAGCCCCAATCCGCAGCTTCCTGGGGCGGCCCATGGCTGTCCGTCTGCTTAGGCCCTTAGTTCCTTTCAAGGAAAGGATAGGATTACTGGGTGATTATTTAATAAACTATGAGGAAGTCTACAAGCAAAGTCCCCTTGGCATGATTCCAGTAGGAAATATGAAAAAATATTCCATGATGCAGAAAAAGTTTGGATAGACATCTTCCACCCCTTCTTAGCTTTTTCATAACCTGCCACTTGTTCCATCAGTGCCCTGTCCTCTCTGGTTATGTATTGTACAGTGCAATCCTATTTCTACTCAGTAATAAGCACTACTGGCTTTGGTTAAATTTACTCCGAGGTAACAGCATACATCAGGGGTAGCAACCTTTTTGAGCTGGGGGCCGGGTTGCTGTCCCTCAGACAATTGGGGGGGCGAAGCACCATAAATAAATAAATAAATAAATAAAAATTAAAAATTTTTTTTTTAAAAAAAATATATGCATGCACACTCTCTCAGCCCCAGAAAAGCCATGGCAAAGCCCCTGTGGAGATTTGGCCAAGAGAACAAGTAATAACAACAATATTCAATATCCTCATGGCAGGCAGTGGCAGGGAGCGGCGGTGGAGGCAGGACCAGCTGGGGCCGGTCCAAAGGCCTCAGGGGGGTGCATCTGGCCCCTGGGCCTTAGGTTGCCTACCCCTGGCATACAAGATTACAGCTGAAAGTTTCAAGCAACTTCTACATATGTTAGTTCTCTCTGTTTTTTAAATATAGGATAAGTGTTCCCGTTCATCTTCTTGTGCCTCAGTTCTGAAAGTATAAAGCAAACAAATGTACTTTTCTACCTCAGAGTCATGTTGTTTCTTTTAAAAAATGAAATTCATTCATGTCTTAGAGGTGAGCAGATGTATTATAAATGATGGATGCCCATCATTCCCATGGCATTAAAAACAAAAACTTGACATTGTTAGCCATTAGAGTGGAAGGCAATGCTGTCAGAATTTTTTTAATGGAAACCTATTCAGGTTGAATAATTGTTGTTGTTGTTAGGAATGATGCTGTGGATAAATTTTCCAGTGACACAGAGACCAAAATTCAATCTCCATGCATAATAGCTCAATGAACAGGAAAACCTGTTGAAACAAGTGAACACATGTCGACATATCTTTCCTGGGTACCAGTTTTTTTGCCAACAGGAGATGGAGGGGGAGGAAATTACAAGCCTAACCTGTCTTTTTTTACAAAAGCCTTTTGTTTCGCTCGTCTCAGTGCTACTGAATATTTTAAGCCTGATAGACATAAAGTGCTTTATTCATTACAGGAAGAAGGGTAATCCACTATGTAGTTATGGGACTGGATTGATGATTTGAATCAGATATCGGCCAACAGCTGGATGAGTATATTTGCAGCTATTCACTAGATGGATAAGATCAGTATCTTAAATGATGTCCAACCTGAGATGAAGTCTAGAAAACCATAGCATTCAGCACATTAAGCTAAATCTGACTGCTGATCCAAAAAAGAACAGATCAGTCAAATCAATGAGATTTACATATGTATTGATATATCATTCAGCATGAGAGACACTGTGGCAAAGTGGGTTTCAGTGTTGGACTGTGACTCTGGAGACCAGGGTTCAATTCCTCCCTTGGCCATGGAAACCCACTGGTGATCCTGGGCAATTCACATGCTCTCAGCCTCAAGGGAAGGCAATAGTAAACCTCCTCTAAACAAATCTTGTCTAGAAAACCCCATGATAGGTTTGCAAACTACATTCCATAAGTCGGAAATGACTTGAA